ATATATACACATACATACACACACACATATCTTAAATACTTTGCTCCTTTATCCTGTCTGAACTTTTCATTATTCCATGGCAGTTAGATTTGCTTTCTGAATGATTCCAATCAGACTTTTGAGATGCAAACTTTTCATATGTAGGATAAAACTATGCACAATTCATTCATTAATTATTTTATTATATGAAATTAATGTACATAATTTATACACTAATGTCCTACAGAACTGATAGAATCATTTTTTTAAAAAAACCTTTTTTACTCTATGACATCTATATAATTATCCTGCATCGTGATAACTGAATGAAGGACATGAAAAGATTCTTTTTTGTCTTATTCCAGCTTAAAAAATCTTAGGCACTCAATACACAAGACACTGCCTATTTAAAAGGAAATAATGAAATCCTTGTTTCATGCTAGAAAATGATTTTTCAGCTTGTAGCTTCTTGGTGCTAAGAGGACTAGATGTTAGGCCATTTGGCTTTTGTAAGTTTAAAATAGTGAAATCAAGTTTTTCATGCATAAATAGTTAACTGAAATTTTTGTTCTTTGATTTCTTCTGAGACTTAGATTCTGTAGGTAGAAAACTGCATATACTTTCTTGCAATCACTGGATTTTAATGTATTATAGCTGGTTCCTCCAATGAGACCAGCAGTGTTTTATGACTTAGTCCTTTTGCCTTACAAATAAATTTGCCACCTAATATATAGATTGGAAACAAGGCAAACAGAGATGAATATAATTACTCTCTCCTTCCTCAGTGTGAGGTCAGCTTGGTTTTGACATTTAAATCTAACAGCTCATTTTAATTCAGCAAATATTTCTCTGAGCACTGTCTATATACAAAATACTCTAATAGATACGGTTTGGGATTCAAAGATAAAATTGAGCTGCAAAAGTCTATTTTGGGAATCTGTTGCTCAGGGGACTCTTGGTCTTCCATCTTGAGTTGTGTGAATTTTTAGAGAATTAGCATAATTACTTGAAGGAAGTGTTGAGTGATCACTGAGTATACAAAAGTCTGAAACAGCCCATGTCCACTCAGGATCCATGGTGAAAGTGTGTGAGACAGCATTGAAATCCCTGGCCCTCAGTCCAGCACTTCGTATACTAAACACCCTGTATGGAGATGCACAGAGTAAAAGAGGCTGCTGCAAGTGGGCTGCCTTCTTCAGCATCTAAGAGATGACAAGTTGGTTCAATGTTATGTCTTAGAATCAGGAACCAGAACCCAGAAACATGACAGGATTGCCCTGATTCCCTGTCAGCATTAACTGGGATCATCTGGCTGTGGTTGTCTCATTGTTCTCCCAACAGTATGGATACTTAGCTAGATTAGGCACCCGATAAGAGCTATAGGTCTTCTCTATTGAGGACCACACTAAGTACTTCAGGTTTATCACTCTGTTTAGTCCTTCCAAACACTTTATTGAAACAGAAACTACTGTATGACATATGGGAAAACTGAGGCTCAGAGAGGTTAAGCAAATTTCTCTAGTTTATTTGGAGAATGACAGATACAAAATTCAAAACAAGTATTATAGAAATGCATAGCCCCCATTCTTAAACAGTGATATATGAACCAAGAATTCATCCATCATTTTTATCTAATATAACAAAAGTTTTGTTTCTAAGAAATACTTTCTTGAATGTACTAAGGCTTCATTTCTGATCAAACATCCTTTACACTTCAAATGAACAGTTGAGTTGTGAAATTTAATGTACAAATTTATGTTAGTTAAGGGTTTCAGTATCCAATAAGCAGAAAACTTTCTGACAGAGTTTGTTTTCTCAATTCTATTATTGGTTAGTAGACCTTTTTCCCCAGTGTCATTCGATAGGCACCCTGTATCAAAACCTAAGTTCTGAGAGCAACCCTAATTAGGTGGCGAGTCATGGCTTATCACTTCTCTAGTGAAAAGTGTCACTTTGCAGATTAAACAAGGAGCTTGTGACAAAAAATAGGAACAAACACTTAATTTTATTTTTTTTCGTTCAGCTAATATTCATTCCCTCTGCACTCGGTACTGTGTATTTTGAAAGACTGGAGGGCAGAGGATTTAACTCAGTGGCACCACATCTGCCCTGCAAGCACAAGGTCATGAGTTTGATCCCCAGTATGAAAGGAAGAAAAAAAGAAAGAAAGAAAGACAGACTGGACATTTACACATAAAATCATATTTTTTTTCTTGTACCACTGTTTCCCTCTGTCTTTAAATGCAATAGGCTGAGTGGTGTAGTTTCAAACACTTCCACTCTGCATACAAGAAAATATGCCATATTAGTAATATCTCTAGTAATATTATTCATGACTTTGATTTTCAACTTGTTGCTATGGAATTTTCTCAAGGAAATGTAAACCAAATTCTTATTCAGATAAAAACTATGGATATTAAAAACTTGAATAGCCAGGTGTGGTGACACATGCCTGTAATCCCAGCACTCGGGAGGCTGAGGCAGGAGGATTGCTGTGAGCTCGAGACCAGCCTGGACTACATAGTGAGTTCCAGGTCAATCTCAACTACATAGCGAGACCCTGTCTCAAAAAAAAAAAAAAAAAAAAAAAAAAAAAAAAAAA